CAGTTGAAAGTTCCAAAATAACATCCACTCCAGGGATACAAATTCAGGATACGCAGAAGACTGCTGTTTTATTATAGGCGGTTGTCATATATTGTACTATCCGAGTTGCGCAGTGTATAAACTGGAACATTGAGATCAAAAGTGCCGACGCTTAGTGAGCGATCTGATTCTTTAGCTATAAACTGTAGCATAGGAATCAAAATGGCCGCGCCCTATGTTGGGCGTGTCGGACCTCTCTCTTGCTCCGTATAGTAATCAAAGTATGTGCTCTTCGAGCATGCTCGAAGAATTTACTGCGTTCATGTTATTTGCAACATGACACATCATTTGTGAATCGAATTTCTTTTAATTCAATCTTGTACACTGTCAGTTTTTGCCATTTTAATTGGCTACTAGTAATAAATCACTATAATCGTAATATCCTTTTTATAGATTGGATTTTTTTTGTATTTTTTGTAAAATCCGAACACAATGAAATAAAGTTTGTTTTACAAATTTTCTTGTCCGTAATATATAAACGCGCGGTCAGTTCTCGCGAGATATCTTGTTTCTGGCCTGTGGATGAAGGTATCGTTAGTGGTCTCTGAATAAGGGTACCATGCGATATACCTCGTCGGTGGCATTAAATGGACTAATAGAGTCCTTAGGCAGACACCAGGAACACGACGCATTTAAGCACAAGAAAAGGTCGCGATATGGCACCTCTTCTTAGGCAACGCCCCGGAAAGAGAAACAACCCAAACATGACCACAAAGCTATGTCTGGAACCGACAAGGATGCAACTAAGGATAACCCTTTTACTTACTTTAAAATCTCTTTATTCACATATTTACTATATACATGTCATTGAATAGGGTATAAACATACAAATATATTATTCTCACTCGCGAAACTACGAGTAAAAGCATCTTCGCGTGCAGGGTGTGTGAGCGAGACGCCCTAGTCCGAAATACCGAATATGCAATTAATAATTGATGAATTTGTCGTGCCATCTCCTTATCGGACGAAATTATGTGGCAATATTGGCGAGTTTGCGATCGAGAATTGAATTTTGTGTTAGTTTTTGTGGGAGTTTACTTGTGATTGTCTTCCCTGGGAAAAACTTTGAAAAACCAAGGTTGTCCTTGTATGTATGTGTGTTATTTTGTATAGTCTGTCTGTGTATAACTATTTTACTTGACTGGATGGTGAAATCCATCTCCAGCAAGGGAATCGTGCCAAGCCTCGATTTCCTCGCTGGCGTCACCGTGCAGACTTCCGTCGGACTAGCATGTTTGAGTACTTGTCCTAGTAAAATAGTTATTTAGTGGATTTGTCGCAGTGAGAAGGGTGTTGCTGCGTATGTTTGTTAATTGTCCCGTCTGTAGAGGTCCAGCTTCTCATGTAATCATCCATGTCTCCTGCATTTCCGCTGTGCTGAGATAGTATGTCTTCTTTGACGTAATCTGGAAGACAATGTGTGAAGAATTTCTCAGCGACAGTGGCAATATATTCTTTGACATTGGGCAAGGATGTTTCGTGGTGCATGTCTGTTATTTTGGCGTAGCGGTCGTACCCCAAGGCACTGATGCCACCTACATTTAGGTCTTGGACGCACTGGTAAAATCATCAGAGTAACGTGCGACGATGACCTGACATTGGAATGGCTAAAAACCAAGGTACCAACCTTAAAAACATGGGAAGGAGCAACACTCGCTGTTAAGGTTTATATGGACCCACATCCTCACTCGTTTCTGACTCTAGAGATGGCTCTACCTGTCGCATCAAATTTAGTATACAATTTATTAAAGTTACAGGGTTCTATCTGTGATAGAATAATATTTCGTTAGTTTATATCGCCGCCAAAAGAGACTGCTAGCACAATAATAGATTACGCGGGAGATCTTTATGATTCGATGCGAAGAACGTTGCCAAACTTCAATATAATTATGTTTTATTTGTTTATGTTGTAAGCCGCGGGAGGTGAGGTGTTGAGCGCGGACGGCCCAAGCGATCCAGCTAAGAGATGGATATGACCTGGCGAGCTTTTGTTAAGTCTTCCACTGGTCCGCTCAATCATTCTCAACTATGAATTTTACTGAAATAAAATTATTTAGGGTGAGCGCATTATCCTTAAAATATGGTATAAAATTAGAACAATATAATATAATGTGGTTTGGCGAATGGACTCAGTTCGCGCAGTCAAAAAATTGAAATAAAAAAAAACTGACTGGAGGATACGTTCGCGCGCTACTATTTAATAATTAAATGAATATTAAATAATTTCAATGAAAACTATCCATAATTTTAAAGGTGAGAAGAGAAAGAAAAAAAATAGACAGAAAGGGAAAGAAAGAAAGAACGTAAACAAAAGCTCAAAAAAAGCAACTTCCAGACGATTCAATGTACACCCCAATAAACATTTTTGATTGTATAGTAGTTAACGTTACTTTTACAACACTTTACTTATAAAACTTACAATTATATATTTGGCAACCGTAACATTTCTCTTGCTGCTATAAACCTCTTAAAGAGCTTAAATGGGGCATTTATGAAGGTTGCGAACACCTCTGTTTAGTAACGCTAATAACTTAAAGTTGTATAAGTAACAGTAACAGAAACATTGTGGAAACCACTAAATAACTTACAAATAGATTCGTTTAAACACCTATAGTAATATAATATAGTGTTGTACATTTTTAGGCAACCTTTATATAACTTGCCTATAATAGATTTACCCTTACCCTTGTTGGGGCTCGGTTTTAATCATGCACGTGTATTTTTTTAACCTTTTTATGGGGACGTCCTAGTAGTGTTTTGTTAGCGCTTATCACTTAATTTTTAGACCTGATGATGTCCTAAGGCCAAAACATTTAACTTAATAAAATTAATTTATATGGGATTGATTTTGAGTTATTGTCTTACTAATATATAGGGTGTTTCATTAAAAAAAAAACAAGAAAAGTGGTCATAACCGGGGAGGAGACCGTAAAAGTTACGAGTATACCACGAGCAGAATTGTCCCTTTATATGATTCTGACGGGTCACTGCCAAGTAGGGAAACATCTCCATGTCATGGGGCTGGCAGAATCCGCACTCTGCAAAGGGTGCAAACAAAAAGATGATATCATCGAGTATATCGTCTACAAGTGATCGATGCTCACATTTATTAAATGATTTGTATTCGTTGATAATTGGCTAACACCAGCCGATATAAGAAAGGCACCTCTTGGCAATATTGTCAACTACATTAAATCTGTAGGCTGGCTCACGAGCTAGGAGGTGCCTATCTATTTAGGAAGATGTAAAATGGGTTTAGTAAGGCCTAAGTGCCGTGGGTTAACCCACCCTACACACGTTACAGATATAGATGTTAAACTTAACGAAACTGTTGCAATTGAAACATATGCTTCTATTACAAAGAATACAGTTGTTGAATGTGGTTTATTCATCTTTTAAGAAAAATGTTATCGTTTCTTAGGAACTTCACCGGATGGTAAAGTGTTTTTACTCAGCTCGAGAATTTGCACTATTAAATGCACAAAAACATGTTAAATACTTTTGTTCTACTACTGCTGATGGAAAAAAATTGTTCCTTAGGAAAACCATAACTATTTTTACTAAGTAAATGTTTAGCAATGATTTATTTTTTGTAGGATCAATAAGAATTTTTAAAAGGTATATTTAATAAATTTATTTATAATAGAAATAGTTTTTTTTTATTTAAAAAAAATATGAAATACCTACTAAGGTAATATGGTTTTTGAGCCAATCAGATTTTTACGAATTTATATTTTTTAACAGAAAAAATGTCATTACTAAATACCTGTTGTTTTAATTTCAAAATCCGTTTTTTTTACTTGCCAACCTTCTTAAATATCGTCCTACGATCCAATTTCTACCAAAAACTAATCAACATGCAATTAACATGATACTGATATTTGGTAAACATCTGTTCAACTTTTTTAATTGATAAAACACATGCATCATTCAGAATGTACCTTTCATTTAATAATTAAATAATTCAAATATTCTGTAAAATGAATAGGTACGTTTGCATCGACCGAAATATTAATAGAAAAATATTTATTTAATCAAGCGAACTTAGTAATACAACTCGATCTGGCAACACGGTAGCGTTGGTGTACGCGGACATCCGAAATTTTTGTTTGAGTAGGAAATTTAGTGCTCTCTGTGAGCAATTTTAGAAAGTACTAATTGAGATGGCAGCACCTCTCAGAGATAAGACTTTGAAAGAGGAAATTCAAAATAGTGTTATTGTTTAATTGAATTTTTCACTAAATTTATAAAAAACTTAATAATGTTTTGAGGTCAATGTCTTTAAATATAATTATTGAAGGTATATTCTTGAATATTACATTCATTTTTATAGTTTAAATCTAATTTTTGTTAATAAAATAAATATATTCTTCAATTACGTCATTTCTGCAAGTTCAAACATTTTCAAAAAATTTATGTAAGTTTCTTAACCAAAACTAATTTATTTTATGAAATAATGATCTCTCTTGATAGTCTAGTTTCTTTGTTTTATACTTGTAAAAAAGTAAATTTTCCGATTTTTCTTGAGAACAAATGATACAAACCGGATCAAATTTTGGTAAAATAATACTTAAGGTTGTATATACATTCACACATTTTTTCAAAAATTTGGAACGTGTAGATACTTTTTCCGGGGGTCCATATAAACCTTAAGGGTGGAAGAGCACACCAAAGCCTCTCTTTGGATCCCAGATGAAGCACAAGCTGGCCTTGAAGAGGAGGTTGTGCTCAGGCGACTTGGACAGAACTCCAACGTGCATGTGGCGAAATGGAGCACCTTCCACCATAAAACCAAAAAAGACCCCAAAGGGCAATGTTTTCGGCGTCGGATAAAGTATCTTTAAATATCGCAAGTTCTTTGGCAATGATAAATTATCGCATACCTGTACAGCAGAAAAATTTTGGAAAGTACATTCATATAAATTCACTAAAAACTAGAAAAACAAACTGGCAAATAAAACAACTTTGTATAAAAATATTTGTATATTTACTGTTTACAATAAATGTAAAATGGAAGAAAAAAACCTTATAGATAAATCGAATTTTCCTAGCGAGACAAATAAATTACGAATAATCTCGTGACGCAAATGACATGAGCATAAAAAAATTACCTAAAACAATTATTGGAGGGCGGAACAAAACTCACAAATACGTAATAAAAATTATATTAAGGGTGTTTAAGTATTTCAGTGATAAACTTATTCAATAGACTAGGTTTTTTATATTAAATACATAAGTACCTAATTTTTATTATTTTCAACTTTGACGCTTTCTGTACAGAAAACAACAAAAAGTCTTCTTAAAAAATGAGAAATCCAAATTTGCAATTGAAATTAAAATCATATCACTGGCATATAAAACTACCTAAATACAGATAACCATACAAAACAGAGGAACACGCTAAAAATATAAACGGAGAGAAGATTGATTAATTGTTATCATAAATTACATAAACAGTTTAAAAAAAGGGGAATACTAAACATTAAAATATATAAAAAATTGATGAATATAAAAAAAGAAGTAAAAGTTCGCCTATTTTCAATAATTTAAATCTTCATTTACGATTTTTCATTTAACTAGAATCTCTGTATCGTATAGTACTCTAATTTTTTTAAATATCAAATTTATCACATGGATCGCTTAAGCTGATCAGCAATTGCATCCAAAAAGTCTTGAGTATTCAAAAACATGCCCTCTTTTACGTTCGGTAATCCGTGGATTGAAGCTGCCAAGTCTTTAGTCATTTTTCCAGATTCGACTGTATCTATGCAGGCCTTTTCGAGCTTGTCTGCGAATTTAATAACGTCAGGAGTATTGTCTAGCTTGCCACGATGAGCTAGACCGCGTGTCCACGCAAATATTGATGCTATGGGATTGGTTGAGGTCTGGTTGCCTTGTTGGTGTTGCCTGAAAGCAAGAAAAATTGACTTTTAATACTCATACTGGTACAAATAATGAAGATATTTTTGTTTTGGTCAAAGATGGAAAAAGCAAATTGTATCAGTATTCAATCTACAACTATATGAATGAAGGAACATTTATGTACCCTTAGGGGCGTGTGGTTCCAATAATACTATTTTTATTATGGTTATACAAAATTTCTTTTCATATTTTTTTTATTAGAAATAAATACGAGGTCTGATCAAAAAATAACCGTTATTTTCAAATTTCGTGAGTTACGTATGTTCGATTTTCGCATTTTTTTTCTGTTATGTTGGTACACATATCTGTTATATATGTTGGCAATATCAGCCATTTTAGATTATCAGTTTGTTTTTGACAGATAAAAAGGTTAGTCGTGTTTTGGTGTGCTCTTCGATTTTTTACTATTCGAAAAATTGGATCAAAGAAACTGTATTAAGTTTTGTGTAAAAAATGAAATTAAATGCGCAAGGACATTTGAAATGTTGACTGTGGCGTTTTGCGAGTCTACTATGAGCAGAACACAAGTTCAATTGTGGTATAACCGGTTTAAGGAAGGCCGAGAAGATGTCAATGACGATGCTCGTCCTGGTGGCCCGAGCACGTCAACAACCGATGAAAACATTGAAGCAGTGAAGAAAATGATTTTGGCACAGACATATATTATAGCGAAAATGGTCAGAGGACCTCAAAAACGTAAAGATTCGTCGAAAACCCGAAGTGGAAAAAAATCACAATTCCTATACTCTCCTTACCGGTTATAGAAGAGTAAAAATGGGGAAGATATTGACAATATGCGAGTTGGATCGTAAAGTTGACTATGCTAAGTCATGAAATTATTAAAAATGACAAATGATAATTTTGCTACTAGCTCGTCAACTGCTGATTTAATTATTGTGGATGGACTAAAACTTGAAATAAATAATATATAAATAGAATAAAAGCCATAAAAAGTGAATAATATGCTCGATATTTCAAAACACGCAAACAAATTTCTAATAAAAGTTACATGGATTTGCAAAATACACACAGACTTATAAGTTACCAAACTAACGAATAGTGCAAATAGAACTGGTTTATTTTATATAATAATTTTATTTAATATAGCTAAGCTTAAGTTTAATTTACTCAACTTTTTCAAATACAACAAAAAATTAACGATGGCAACAGCCAATTGTACATATACAGGGTGGTGTGTAATGAATCGATAGCTGTTTTATTATTGGAAATACGAAGAAAATTTTAATATAAAAGTTGTAAACAATGAATTTTACATATATAGGGTGGTTAATAAACGAGGGTCTGACCAAACTTACATTTTTTTTAAGCAAAAGGTAGTTACACATATTTGATTGTTTTCACATCGTCAAACAATTTTAATAGACTTCTTTCATTTGCTGTTGTGTTCAGGGTATGTCAAAACTCAAAGTACTGATGATAATAAAAACACGAAACATTTTTTTTTCAGAAAAATTAAGTTAAAAACAGGATTATTTTATTTCAAGAATGAAAAAATCGATTAAACTTACTTATTTGTAGTTTTGTAACTGACCAAGGTTTTTAAAGCCAATTATAATTAGAAAAATGTAAATTTTTATAATAAAAACAATAAAAATCTTGAGGAAAATAAGGTTTGGGTATAGGCAATGCGAAACAAAATGAAAAATAAAGAAATGTAGTAATTCATTTGTGGTATAACATACAGGATATTTAGGTACACCCTGTACACATAATAACAAATGAATCAAAATAGAAAACATTTTAGAAAGTTTAAGTCTATTAAAATTGTTATTTAACGACTTGAAAACAAGAAAATCTACTGCCGGGTTGTTTAATCCAAAAAAGTATAAGTTTGGTTCGCTCCTTATTTATGGACTACCCTGTATATTTAAGAGTAATTGTAAAATATAATTCTACAATTTTTATAATAATAAAACATATATGCACTGATCGGACACCCTGTATATGTATAATTGGCTAACTAACCTGTTGCTATCATTGGATAGGTAAACTTTCAAAGAATAATAATAATATGCTAAAATAATATACGAGGTCTGACGATTAAATAACGAGACTGTGCGTGCATAAGGTGTCCTAGAGGGGTAGGCGGGAAAACGAATACAGCATTGCATAGCTGGAAGTGTTTACTATTTCAGTACGAAAACACGTTTTTGTCGCTGTAGTAGTATTTTTTATATAGAGATTAGAAACGAACGTGTTTTTTCTCGTGCCGATAACAAACGGTTTTCTTAAGGCCGAATGTCGAAAACAAAATTGAAAGCCATCCTAATCGTTTTTTTTTTTTTTTGACATCAACGGCATCGTGATGACTGAATGAGTTCCAGAGGGTCAAACCGTAAACCAAACTTACGATATGAAAGTTTCGGCAACACTATACGAGAGCAAGTTCGTAAGAAACAAGTCGTGGATCGTGCACCAGGACAACGCACCTGCCCATAACGAACTGTTTGTGAAGCGTTATTTAGCCGCCAGAAGCACTCTAGTGCCAAACACGCGCCGTACTTGCCTGATTTAGCACCCTGTAACTTTTTCCTGTTTTCGAAGATAAAGTCTGCCTTAAAAGGAACCGAGTTTGAGCCGATGGAAGAGGTGAAGCGAAAATCGGCAGAGCTACTAAATGCTCTTACAAAAAAAGACTTCCAGCATTGCTTTGACCAATGGAAAAAACGAATGAAACGACGTGTGGCGAGGAGAGGGGAGTACATTGAAGGGTAGCATTCGATTGTAGAATAATTTTTAAAATTAAACCCCTTTTCATGAGTAGTCTCGTTATTTAATTGTCAGACCTCGTACAGGGTCCATTTGACAAAAATTAGTAAAAAGAACTTAAAATTAGCCATATTAAAGACATATTTCAAGACATTCTGTATAAAATATACCAGTTTTATCACCACTATTCGTTAGCTTGGTATCTTATGTCTGTGTTTAAAACCATTTTGAAATCATTGCTAACCTAACTAAATTTTTTTAAATGAATTTATATTATATTTTAGATAAGTGAACCCACCCCGATATTAAGATTGTCTATCGATTAAAAGTCTAGAAGGAGATTTCCATATCGAGTGGCGTAGACCAACGTGGGGCAATAAAAAAAAATAAGGTAAAAACTTTAAATTTAGATTGGGATAGACCAATTCAAAATTTGGCAAGCTTTTTTATATTTTTAGTTGTATTGAACTGTTGTTTTGAGTGTGAAAGTGTTGTATTGGGTCAAGTGTAAAGTGTGTGCCTTGTTTGTTTACGTATTAAGGGGGATAATTCAAAATTGAGCTTGGAATATTATATATACTATATATATCGAAGTTAATAGAATACAAATAGAATAACATAACATAATAGTAAATGAGATTTTCTTATACTGATAGTAATAACATAGAGTAAATGGATTTAAGAGGGGGAAAGAAAGTTGTGTTGCTGGGAAAACATAAGGAAATCTAGGACAAGAAGATAGAGATGTACAGGATGAGACACAATTATAGAAGAAAACCAACAGAAAGAATAAATAAAGATGGAGGACTCATGCAAGTGCTCATTGGAATGAAATGGAAAATAAATATGAGACAAATGAAAGAGGACGTAAGACAAACGATAGGGAAATGATTGAGAATATGAGACAGGTGAAAGAGGAAGTGAATGATAATATATGACAAATGAAAAGGAAAATAGGGGAACAGATTAAACAGAATGAAGAAGCAATGGGTTACAAGATGAACAACATAAAGGAAGAAATTAAAAAATTTAGACAGGTTAACAAAAATTTAATTATAAAAATAGAAGACATAGAAAAACAGTGAAAAAGTTGAAAGTGAAAAGTTGGAAGAAACAATAAAAATGAATAAAGAATAAATAGAAGAGGTAAAAATAGAAGAAGAAAGACAAAGTCAAAATATAGAAAAAGATGGAAATAAGAATAAAGAAAATTAAAGAAAGTGAAAAAGAAATTAAAGGAAAATAGAAAAAGAATTATAGAGAAAATTACGAGACAAGATAAAATAAAAAGAGAAACATATGAAACCAGGAAGAAGAAACATAAACGTAAAAGTAAAACAAACAAGGCGGATAAAAGAAATAATAGAATAATAAATAAAAATAAAAGTTATAGTAAAATACACCTAAAAAAGATAGAGGAATAAAAAAATAATAGAACACTAAATAAAAGTAAAGGTTATAGTAAAATATACCTAAAACAGATACAAGAGGATGAAAAAATAAGCAATAAATAAAAATGGAGGGGAGAGAGATGAGTGATTGAAAATAATCTAAAATAGGGGGTTGTCAGAAAAGGAAAGAGTGAGGACAAAGGTGAAAGAAAAGTAATAAAATTTAGATTTGGAATTAAAAATTAGCTTAAGAACACAGAACACATTTAGTAAAATAGAGTTAAATGTTATAGATAAAAGAATAAGACAGTGAATGTAAGAGGAATATAAAATGGATACTTGGTAGGTAAAGTACAGACAATAGAACAGAAATTAGTGAGTTGAATGAGAGAGAAATTAAAAATTTTGTGCTTAAAAGAAAAAAAAATATATAGAAGAAATGTTGGTAGAAAAGTAAACATTTAAAATTTATGAATAGTTAATGGTTTAAAATGAAGGCGGATATGTGATTTGTGTGATTAAATAAGAATTAAAAAATGCGACATAGTAACTAATAAGGTATTGTCAAGCTTCGTATAAATTCACATTTTTCCAAATTCTAATTAATTATTTAAATAACATCCTGTACATTAAAGTTTGTTTAATTATGTCGTGAACTTGTTTTAAGTTGCAATCATGTACAAGGCTGATTATTCAATAATTCTTAAATATAAATAAATATAAATAAAATAATAATAAATTCTCCCGCGCGCCGTCTTATGCTGCATCTTGGTCTCGAGGGCATAGAGCCTTTTATGTATTTGAATCGCAGTTTTAACAGTTAGTCAAATGTTGTGACGTGTGCCTCAAATATTTAATATTTGTAATTATATTAAGCCTCATATTTGTGTATGTCGAGTTATGACGTATTTTATATAATAGTTTTGCATAAATTTATATTACATTTGTTTTGAGAAAATATTGTATTTCCTTCAATCTTTAGAGGTTTTAATTTCTGAATAAATCCGTATATAGGGCTACGAAGTCAAGTTATAGTAATTTAGTGCTTACACGAGAGTCAGGCCTGAATTTATACATTTTGCTTTTAATCCCCGGGACATATAGTACCCTTAATTATTAAAAAATACGCTTAACGTAACAATATAATGATGAAGATAAATGCGATATATGAAATAATATGAAAATAAGAAGATGGAATGTGATAAAAAACGAGAAAATGAAGATAAAAAATAAATGAAGTGGCAAAGCGGAATTTAAAAAAATCTAAGGATAATTAAAATGAAAAATAAAGATTAATGAAAAATATTAGATACAATAGGCAGGTATTTATCAATTGTGTAAAGGTGAGATGAGGTATATTATTATGTGGTTTTACCTGTAGTGCCTGGTAACTGTTCCATGAGCTGCTTCAGATTCAATAGTCTTGCCATCAGGGCACATCAAAACGGACGTCATCATCCCTAGAGATCCATAACCTTGAGCAACTATATCAGATTGAACGTCACCATCATAATTTTTGCAAGCCCATACGAAACCTCCAGACGATTTTATTGCCTGAGCGACCATGTCGTCGATGAGACGGTGTTCGTACCAAATTTTCTTCGCTTCATACTGAGATTTGTAGGATCTGAAATAAACAACTTGTTAATTTTGAAGATTATAGATAATGGCAACCTGTACACTTACTTTTCGTAAATTTCCTGGAATATATCCTTAAATCTGCCATCGTACTTTTTCAGGATAGTATTTTTCGTAGATAAGTATAGAGGCCAACCTTTATTTAAAGCGACTTGGAATGAAGAATGTGCGAAGTCCGCTATACTATCATCTGTGTTATACATAGCTAATGCTACACCGGCACTTTTGTATGTAAACACGTGGTACTGTTTTACTTTACCATCGTCAGCAGTATACTCCAGAACAACCTAAATAATAAATAAATGATACAAAAGAGTCTCAAATAATCTATTTTGTTCGTATTTCATTTAAAATCGATTATTAAATTATATTTTATTATCATCATCTGAGAAATCGAAAATAATCGATTAATCAAAAATAATATATTTATTAAATAATCTATTTTTTCAAAAAATAACTGAATTATCGATTATTTTCAAATCTATTTTTTTTTGTATTTGTAATAATATCAATTATTCGATTATCCTTGAAAAATCGAAAATAATCGATTAATTATAAAACGATTAACCGATAAATCAATTTTTCTAAAAATAATAATCAAATTATCGATTATTTAAAATCGATTATTTTCAATTAATCTATTTTCTTTTTGTATTTCCTTTAAAATCGACTATTTGATTATCTTTGAAAAATCTAAAATAATCGATGAATAATATTCGATTGATCGAAAATAATCGATTAATTTTAATCGATAAATCGACTTTTATATAAAAAATTACCGAATAATCTATTATTTATGCAACCTTTATCGACCATTTATCTCCAAAATTCAGATATTCGGATTTTTTGATCCTGTTATCTTTAAAACAGCATTGAAAAAACGAAAATCGTTTAATTCAAAACCGAAAAATCGAATTTTCTAAAAAATAATACAATTATCGATTAGTTTTAATCAATCAATTATTTTCAAATAATTTATTTTCTTTTCGTGTTTCTTCAAAATCGATTATTCGATTATCTATGAAAAATCGAAAATAATTAATAGAAAATAATCGATTAATTAAAAAATTGATTAACCGATAAATTTATTTTTCTAAAAAAATAACCGAATTATCAATTATTTTAAATAATTGATTATTTTCGATCAATCGATTATTTTCAATTAATCTATTTTCTTTAAAATCGATTATTCGATTATTTTTGAAAAAACGAAAATAATCGATGAATTAAAAACCGAATAACCGATAAATCGATTTTCTAAAACAGAATAACAGATTTATCGAATATTTTCGATCAATCGATTATTTTTAAATAATTTTCGTATTCTCTTTAAAATGAATTATTCGATTATCGATGAAAAATCGAAAATACTCGATTAACTGATAAATTTATTTTTCTAAAACAGACTAACCGGTTTATCGATTATTTTCGATCAATTGTTTATTTTCAAATAATCTTTTCCTTTAAAATCGATTATTCGAATATCGATAAAAAAACGAAAATAATCGATTAACCGATAAATCTATTTTTCTAAAAAATAACCGAATTAACACTTATTTAAAATAACCGATTATTTTCGATCAATCGTATATCTTTGAAAAATTGAAAATAATCGATCAATTGAAAAAACGATTAGCCGATAAATCAATTTTTCTAAAACAGAACAACCGATTTATCGCTTATTTTCGATCAATCGATTAATTATTTTCTAATAATCTTTTCGTATTTCCTTTAAAATCGATTATTCGATTACCGATGAAAAATCGAAAATAATCGATTAACCGATAAATCTATTTTTCTAAAACAGAATAACCGATTTATTATTTTCGATCAATCGATTATTTTCTAATAATCTTTTCGTATTTCCTTAAAAATCGATTATTCGATTATCGATGAAAAATCGAAAATAATCGATTAACCGATAAATCTATTTTTCTAAAAAATAACCGAATTAACACTTATTTAATATAATCCATTATTTTCGATCAATCGATTATCTTTGAAAAATTGAAAATAATCGATTAATTGAAAAAAATGGTTAAGCGATAAATCAATTTTTCTAAAACAGAATAACCGATTTATCGATTATTTTCGATCAATCGATTATTTCTTTTAAAATTTATTATTCTATTATCGATGGAAAATCGAAAATAATCGATTAACCTATAAATCTATTTTCCTAAAGTAAAATAACCGATTTATCGATTATATTTGATCAATCGTTTATTTTCAAATAATCTTCGTATTTCCTTTAAAATCGATTATTCGGATATTGATGAAAAAACGAAAATAATCGATTAACCGATAAATCTATTTTTCTAAAAAATAACCGAATTAACACTTATTTAAAATAACTTATTATTTTCGATCAACCGATTATTTTTGAAAAATCGAAAATAATCGATTAATTGAAAAAACGATTAACCGATAAATCAATTTTTCTAAAAAAAAAATTAACCAAGTTATCGATTATTTAAAATAATAGATTATTAATTAATATATTTTCTTTAAAATCGATTATTTAATTATCTCTGAATAATCGAAAATAATCGATTAAAGATATTCGATAAATCGAAAATAATCGATTAAAAATATGCGATTAATCGAAAATAACCGATCAATTTTAACCGATAAATCGTCTTTTATAAAAAAAATTACTAATTAATCGATAATTTTTGCAACCCTTACCGGGCATGTATCTCCAAAATTCAGATAATCAGATTTTTGGATCCCGTTATCTTTAAAAACGCATTCGATTGTATAATAAATAATAAAAATTGCAATCTAAGGTTATGTTGTAAAATACTCACTTTTCCTGGTTTATCCACCACCAAATCAATGGCTTTATACTGGTCACCATGGGCGTGACGACCAATAATTATGGGCTTGGTCCATCCAGGTATCAATTTAGGAATGTTCTTACATAAAATGGGTTCTCTAAATACAGTTCCCCCTAGAATGTTTCTTATGGTTCCGTTTGGTGAAAGCCACATTTTTTTCAATTTGAATTCTTAAAAAGAAATTACCATTACATTACACTCTTGGATGTCTATTAAATGAAATACCTAGCTTAATATTTAAAAATATACCTTACCTTCTACTCTTTGTTCATCAGGAGTAATAGTAGCACATTTTATTCCTACGTTATGTTTTAAAATGGCGTTTGCTGAATCGATAGTTACTTGATCGTTTGTTTGGTCTCTAGAAAGTAACATAGATTAATAGACTAGCCGGTAATGACCGATATTTTGTAACATTTCTTAAATTATGCATCTTTTAAGTCATGGTTTTTATTATGTCCTAGCGAATTATCTAAGAGTGCTCGCATAAAGCGTTGTCGCCAAGCAAATTTGAATTTGTATTGAAAATTAATGATTTCGAACGATTAGTAAATGTATGCAAATTATTTTTTGTTAAAATTTGAGAAAAAAATATACTGCAGAGAATAATCTGCATACTCCTCCTTCGTCTAAAAAGCCCCGAAATAATTAATTAAACATGTAAAAAAGAGAAGGTATTGAAGAACAATTATATTATTAAACATATGCTTTTTCACAGCCTTATTTTTGACGTTAAGTGGACCACAGAAAGATACTTTGCATACAGTCTCGGTGTGTACATGCGTTGCGATAATTTTTTAAACATGCACTTTTTTGTAATTACTCCAAACAATTAATTAATGTATCTAATTGGACTATGTGAAAAGTATTGGGTAAAGATGCGCCAAAAAATGTTTGCATACCCTAAACAAGATCGCAAAATAATCTATGTACTTTACTTTAGATAGTTAACAAATGTATGCTGTTTTGTATTTCGTAAACTTCTTGACAAAATATCACAATTTAGCGACTTGCATACGATTCCGACGTGTACAACGATAAAAATGACGAAAAAATTTAAAATAACGTTGAACAGTAAAGGAATGCTATTTGGAATAGTGATAAATTACAGAAGAATATTCGAGTATAATCATCTGCATACGATTCCGGTATGTACAACGCTGTATACTCGTCAATATTCCTCTATGTGTGACGTCATGCACTGAGCAAGACAGGTAAACTTCAAATTTCCTGTTTTTTCTGCGCGTCCATGATGTGTTTTGTTACATTACATAGGATCCAGGCGCCACTAAAATACACAGTTCCATACAGGCAACGTAGGCAACCCGTAAGGCAGATTTTCTGCCAGTGTCGTCAGTGATTATTGTTGGTTTGTATTGTTTTTAAATTATATCAGCTGTGGCTTTGTTAATATTTTCCAATACGTAATGAGATCGCAAATATTAATGTGAATATTTCTAATTGAAAAAATAAATTAAACACAAAACATTAATTTGTATGATTCAAAATGAGTGTTGATCTTTTTAAGTGCTTCCAATGTATACAGGGTGTCCCGAAATAAGACGGTCATTTTTTTGACAGCGTAATCTACATCCTAAAATTGGAATAAAAGTTCATATAAACATAGGTTCGAAAACGTTTCGTTTTCGAGATACAGGGTGTTACAAGTGAAGTTCTGATGGCACATTTTTGTAAATATTTTCTAAAATTTCTTTAGTCACCGGTTTTACAAAGTGAAAAAAAAAAAATAAAATCTCTGATTTCACAGGCCTACTAATTATTGTTTACAATTTCGAATAAGATAACATCAACTTATCATGATATTTTCAAATGCTTTTTTCTTGAAAATGGTGCGTCCTAGCGAGATGCAACAAAAGTAGCTTTATTATAAAGAAAACATTGGGTTTTCAAATTTTATAGTCAAAAATGTTAAAAACTGTCAACAAAAAAAACTAAGGGGAATTTTACCCCAAGCCTGCCCCCCTAATTTACCCACCTATGAAAATGATCAAAAACTGGAGTTTAGTCCATTAAATAGAGCGTAAAAAGGTAAGCATTTGTATCAAATTTCACTTAGTTATCTTTAAACGTTTAGAAAATGTATCTCGGAAAAGAAACGTTTTCGGACCTTTGTTTATATGAACTCCTATTTTGGGATGTAGATTATGCTGTTAAAATATGACCGTCTAATTTCGGGACACCTTGTATATATAGAATCTCATTGATTCTACTAATGTACTTAATCTAATTCATAATTAGGTATTAGAATAATAGTTTATTTATTACAAATTTGTATAAAAATAATTTGAATAACTTACGAAATACTAACAGAAGCGTCACTTCAAAAGAGGTTCAGCTTGTATTGTGATGCTATCATAGATAAATTAATAAAACAAGATGAATTTTTTAAATGCACGTGGTAGTTCCCAGCATACTATTAGTTAGCGCCACCGTCGCAATAGTATGAAAGCGATGTTGCCGGTTTCCGTAAACTTTCATGAGATGAGAGTTATTTCAAATTCATCTTACTTTAATTTTTTATCAATCTACATGCGCACCATAGCATCCATACAATGTCCATACTATTGCTGGGATTTTTAAAAGAAGGAGTTGACAACCTCGTAAAAAATGAAAAACCGTGATGGCGGAAGGTCAAATATGATAATGAACTCTTAAAACTTATTTTATGAATTATGATGAAAGTTCTAAAGATCGGCAAGTTATTTTTAAGAAGATAAACAGTGTTGATTTGATGTAATTTGTAAATATTAGCAATTTAATTTAATATTAAAGGTGTGTAGATTTATTTAAGGACTTTGTTTATCATTGTTTTCATTTTCCTTCCCATATTAAAATTTGCCAGAACTGGTTTAAGACTTTATATTTAACTTTAGATAATAATACTCGCTATCTTTGTGCGGACCATTTTTGCCTGAGTCTTTTAGTAGGGTTTCATCAAAACGTAAACTGTTAGTTGAACATTCTGTACCAATTTCATTAGATAATTGTGCATCCAGTATCCAGTTCCAATATACAACCTGAGAGTTAGATTTTAGACTAAATTGAGGCCGAAGCACAAATATAGCAGCACAAGAAAAACAAGAAATTAGTTGCAAACTTAATAATTAGTGATGAACAATTTGAACGACCCTTGAAACGAAGAAAAACAATAAATAAATAAAAGTAGTCAGAAATTTAAGTCCTAAAGAGAAAAAGTTGTATTTTATTAATATTTGATAAGAGAAATTGTTCAATAAGACATATGTACACTTTTTGTTTTGTTTTTATAGGAAACACGGGACACCCAACAAAATGTGGTCCATTTTTCCAAGAATGGGGGAGACTACCTACTATTCATTTTACTTACAATTGTTATTTACTATTGAGCTCATGTATGTATGTATTACTGTATAATAAATAATTAAGTTATATTATTATGTTTCAAATATTTTATTTTAATGTAAATATTTTTTGTTTATATTTTTTGGGGTTTTATTACGAAAAAAAAAAACTAATATTTATGATAAATGCATTATTTTGATGTAAATATTAGTTTTTTTTAGAGTAATGAATGCCAAAAAAATGTAAATAAATAATAAATTATATTTGAATGAACCGCGGTTCGCTTGAAGCTCTTCTTTTTTTATTCTTCTCTTTCTTATTCGGCCTCCAATTGGCAAGTCAATCAGCCAGTGTAGTTCAAAAAAAATCCGTTCCATACTAATTTGCAGCACTGTTTGTTTCCAAAAATTAACACGGGATCCCACTATCTTCTTTATTAATTTATCTATGGATGCTATACAAAGTTTATATATCCTTAATACTAAAATTTTAATAACTAATAATAATTTTTAATATTTCTTGTTAATAATAATTTTAATGCAAAATTAAAGATAGTATCTATGTACTCCAATTGATACCTAACATAATGTTATGTAATTAATACAGATTTTTTACAAAGTTTTTTTTTTTATACATTTTTATTTGAAATTTTTAACATTCTATTAGTATCAGCTGCCTGAAACAATATCATTTTATGATTATGATTCAATTATTAAATAAGTAATATTCTAACTATTATTTGATCCAGATTTTTAGCAAAAAAAAAATGTTTACACACTGACGTATGCATATCATTCTTCATAGAGTCTAATAAATTGACTGTACAGTTAATAAATATAAAATCAAAAATCAGTCTAAATTATAAAGCAAATTGATCAAAGTAATTTATTGTGTCAGTACATTAAAAAAATGTAAAAATGATTTTAAAAAGTGGACAATATGATAATAAATTTAAAAAATTCTATATAAATGAAATAATTTTATAAAATTCGATAAATAAATGTAGAGTAAGATTATTAACAGACTTCAAAAGAGGAGGTTCTCAATAGGGATGGGGCAACGATATATCGAAGTTTTGTAAATATCGATATATTTCACAAATATATCGATATATTTTAATCGATATTTTACTACCGATATATCGAAAAAATATCGATATAATCTGTTTGATATATGGAAAATATTATTCATAAAGCGTGCGTTCGTGTGCATGCGACGTTGATTTGACGTTGGTAGTTAACACGTCAGAGCGTGCACGTGCCTCTTTTTATTATTTTTTATGTTTGGTAAGATATATCGAAAATATTATTCATAAAGCGTGCGTTCGTGCGCATGCGACGTTGATTTGACGTTGGTAGTTAACACGTCAGAGCGTGCACGTGCCTCTTTTTATTATTTTGGTTTGGTTTGTTTTGATGTATGAATTTGCATATTTTTAGTTTTATTTTCGGTGTGCAGAGTTGGTAATAAAAATATTTTTCTACAGTAGCAACTTCTATTCCAAATGATGACTATTTTCGAAAGCTGGTTTGACAGCAACAAAGAGCCAAAAGCGTTTATCCAGCAAGAGATTGTCAAATTTATTATTTTTGAGTTCTCTTCTCAGAAAGCTTTCAAATAATGTAGCATAAACACTTTTAAGTAAATATTTAAGTTTGAGTAAGTTTGCAAATAAATTTACATGATCTTCCGTAGGATTCGAAACCGTGTCTCGTTTTACCAGAAAATTGGCTCGCAAATGAATGCCGCGCCGTAAACACCTACGCTACCGTAGTCGATCATATGATTCGATATATGGATATATTTATTTATTTATTTTGCCATGTATAGTTCTCAATCCGTCTGAATATTTTTGAAATAATGCTATACGACAGAACCTTATGCAAATAAACGTTTGTACAATGTAATATATAAACTTTACAATAAATCCGTTTTTAAATGTTAAATAATTGTTTCGAGTAATTACAAGAACGTGCATATTTAAAAAATTACTGCAATTCCTGTGCAAAATAGCTTTTTGTAGTCCATTTAACAACAAAAATAAGGCTATAAAAAAGCATACGTTTATTAATAATTGTTTTTCAATACTTCCTCTATTTTACAAGTTCAATTAATAATTCCGGGGCTTCCTACAGGAAGGAGGCGTATGCAGATTATTTTCAGTGGGATAATTTTATTCAAATTTTATTAAAATACAAATTGCATGCATTTACTAACCATTCGTAATCATCTATTTTAAGTACAAATTCAAATTTTCTTGGTGACGCCGCTGCATGCGAGCTCTCTTAGTTAATGACTAGGACATGTTAAAAACCTTTAATAATCATAACTTAAAAGATGCAAACATTAAAAAAACGTTGCGAAAAAGCTGTCATTACCGGCCAGTCTATAAGATTTTTATTTGTTTATTGTATAACATGAACAGAACACAGAACAGAGGATATACAATTTTAAAAACAAAAACACTTCGACCTCAATAAATTACGGTATACTAGAACGACTACAGGTCGATCTATCAGCAAATTATGGAAACTCCAAAAGGTGAAAACAATCCAATGGAAAACTGAATTTGTTAATTTGATGCACAAAAAATGTTCGTGAAAACTAGACGCAAATTAAATCCAAACTGATAATTAAAAAGAAGAAATGTGCGCCCTGCAAGGCCTACTTTAGAAATATTGTTTGTGAATTACTTTATATTACGAGGATATATCAGTATATAACGAGACTGGTGCTATAACTTCTTTCAGAGGTAACATTTTATAACCCAAAAAATGAGACATGAAAGCCTTATATTTAATGTACTACCCCGCAAGTAGGCTTTGATTTAACTTTTGACATTTGTTACAAATTAATTATTGAATTGTCAGTGTTTTGCGTACCCATCGAAAAATGAAAGTGGAGCAAAGATACGCGATAAAATTTTGTGTTCGAATGGGTAAAACACCAACTGAAACTTTTGAAATGATTAAAGGTGCATATCTAGATAATAGTTTATCACGATGTAGAGTGTTTGAGTGGCATAAAAAGTTTAAAGACGGTTGTGAATCAGTTGAAGATGAACCTCGTCCCGGTCGACCACAAACTGCGAGAAATGACACAAAAATTGCTTAAATTAACGACTTGATACAAAATGATCGCCGGATTGGCATAAAACGAATTTCTGACAATGTTAATTTGTCTTACGGTACCACTCAAAAAATTATTCATGAAGATTTAGAGTACCGGAAGATCGCGGCAAGATGGATTCCAAAAGTGATGACCGATGAACAAAAAGCGAATCGAGTGAAAATTTGTCAGCAGTGGAAAAGGCAATTGCAACGTAACCCACAGTTTTTAAATAATGTGGTTACATGTGACGAAAGTTGGTTTTATCATTACGATCCTGAATTGAAGTCTCAAAGTATGTAATGGAAGCATAAAGGCAGCCCAAGACCGCAGAAGGCCAAAACTGCTAAAAGCGCTGGTAAAGTGATGCACCTGATTTTTTTTGATAAATTTGGCCTTATTTACGATCACATTGTACCTAGAGGACATACAGTAACAGGGGAGTACTATTCTAATGTACTTCGAGGACCCTTAAAGGCAAAATTAAAGAAAAAAAGGCCGCTTTATCAGGACTTTGGCTGGACGCTGCATCACGACAATGCTCCGGCTCATAGATCAATGATTTGTCAACGAACAATTGAAGAATTAGGGGTTGAAATTATGGTTCATCCCCCCTACTCTCCTGACCTTGCTCCATGTGACTTCCATTTGTTTCCTGAAGTCAAAAAAGAATTGAGAGGTAGAAGATTTGAGTCGGATTTAGAGCTCAACAACGCTGTGATGGGTATACTAAACAGACTATCAAAAAATGGTTTCTCAGAAGTTTATGATAAGTGGATAAAGCGATGGAATAAGTGTATTTAACAGAATGGAGAGTACTTCGAAGGATAGTTGTTGAATTTTTTAAAATAAATGTTTCGTTGTTATACTATAGCACCAGTCTCGTTATTTTCTGATACATCCTCGTATATCTAAATCTGTGCTTACCTGTTGGGAAGACCTAGATCATAATATAGACATTCGACTTTAACATAGGGAAAAATGAGCGATTCCTTAATTTTTTCCCAAATTATCCTAGTCATCTCATCTCCGTCCATTTCCACAATTGGGTTTTTGGCTTCCACACGTTTTGTGGCATCTGCAAAAAATTAAAAAAATTGTTTATATTGTTTACCTATACCTGATTTATTCATAAACATAATAGATGAGGTGAATAAAATGAGATAAGTAAATTAGTGCGAATAAATATTTTAATAAAATCACGTGAGTGCTTTCGACTTTTCCTAGATTTTCCTAGAAGATACTGAGATGAATTCACATTTTAGTATTAAAAAATAAATAAATTACACGTTCGGTAGGTACCTCTATAAAAAACACTGAATCACATAAATATTTAAACAAAGGGAAACGATTGACTAACATTTTTGAGAGTAATTAAAAATTAAAAAAAAAAATATTTTTTTAAAAATTAATAAATTATGAAAATTAATCTTACTATTTTCTAGGAAAATTGTAAAGGCTGTGAAGTTAAAAGCGGTAGCCTGATTTTATTAAATACAGATATACGAGAAAATTATACGAATCCATATGTTTCCTTGGAGATTGTAATCGAGAATGTCTATTTCTTACTGACGAGCGCTAATAAGAGAGAAACTGGTCCAATAATGACATTTCCCAATGCAAAATCAAAATGATAGTGTTGAAAATTATTTTCTATCTTTTCCGTTTTTGTTTGGATATAATTATTCAATACCTATTGTGGTATTACCTAAAGAAGTAGTTGAAGTAGAGGAAAACGGTCGCTTGTATTATTTGTAACAGATGCCGTTGACATTTTATTTATTTTTTCTTTATTTCTAGTATTAATGAAAGAAATCAGTTACCTTCTCATTTGGCCTGGCAGAAGATAGCTTGTGGCGATTCTGCCAGGAAGAGGAGGAGGAGTATACAAAACTGATCTCAAAAACAGAAAATTATACTGATGCAAAAATATTAGATTATTTGAAAATAAAACGGTACGTGTTTTTTTAATTTTCTTGTAATGAGGGTTGAAAAAGGGAGAGGGTACATTTTTTATGAGAACACTGATTATTTCAAAAACCGAATATAGATTACAAATATGCAGACACCTCCTATTTTAAAAGAAAAATCGGTAGTATATTTTAGATAAAAAAAGGAAAGCATGTTTTAAATTTATACCACCTACTGCGATTTTAAACTAAGCAGATATTTGTTTTAGTTATAAAATATTTTTTATCACTCGATACCTTTTCTAAGAGTATCTAAAAATAATTTGAAAATAAACAGGCACCAAAAATTTGGTTGCAATCATAAATATTCATGATACCAAACAAATGGAAAAAATTAACCAAATGACGTCAATAATTAGCTTAAAGTAGAATTTGTAATTATTTATATTTTATAGTTAGCTTTAAACGAGTAAATAACCGCATTCATGAAATGTGTACCTATTTTAAAACTTTGTTTATTTTGAAACGTCTTCAATTACGTATTACGTATTTTCTCTTATTAAATATGTTGTTCTGCAAGGTTCAGTAATGGGTCCTCTCCTGATTCTTCTAGTCAATAGATGATTAATTTTTATTATGAATACATAAATATAACATAATATTAAATTTGTATAGAAAATAAAATCATTCTTACACTTTTTTCCATGCTATAAGTACCTATTTGTCCGCTATGTACCTGAACCATTGTGAGTACTATTTCGTGGTAGAACTTTCTCGATATTTGACCTTGGATTTGACTGCAAAACTACCCTAACAAATATTGTCTACCTGCCTCCCATAAAAGCTTTTAAAATGTATTCTAATCCGATGGGCAACTACAAGGGATCATCCGAATTTAATCCTTTTTTCTGTAACTACTGAACTGAAAATCAGACGGGCGGAGGTAATTTGCCCACAAAATATTTAAAGCTGCTAATCCTATAGGTAATTTGCCCACAGCAAGTAAAAGGTCATCTTAATCCTGTTGGTATTTTGCCCAAATTTATTTCTAACTGAATAAATCATAGAATAGATATATCTTTCATTTATTATTTTTTATATATTATCGAAAAGTAAAAACACTAAAAATTATATTAAACGCTAATTTTTATTATTATAAAAAAGTAAGTATACATAAGTTATATTATATTTTTTATATATTTAAATTTTATTTACATATTTTTCAACTGGGAGGGATAAATGTGATAGAAATTTTATATACTCTAATCTGCTGATTTGCTGCAGATCAAATCGCTGTATAAATTTTTCTAAATACTGAATTTTTTGTTTTACACTTTTGTCTTTGATTTTCTTAGGTATACTTAAGCTTTGTATTGTGACATACGTATCGATTTGAAAGTCTTTAAGCTTTTCTATAAAAATATATACAGAAGGATGTGTACAGTAGAATTAAGAATTAAACCTTGAATGAAACGACTCACAGGCATTTGTAGTTCTTGTAATTGAAGCTGTTTTTTCTGCCCATATACTTGGAGGAAATGTAGAATTTTCTTCAATATATGTTTCTAATAGGTAATCGGCATACCTATCGAGAACGGCATTTTCTGGTTTACTTGCCATTAAGTCAAACACAAAACAGTCTCCAACTTCATCGGCGTTTAAATATGTCAACCCAAATGATGTTTTAAGCCATTTTCCGGTATCACTGTTAGTTGTATATTCAGTCATTAATCCCAGAGACTGAATTTTACGATACCACGCTTGATGTAGATGAAATCGGCAGCCATTGATTACAGTATTAGGCCACATATAAATTAACGCCTTATGAATTGCTATTTCAAAATCAACGAACACTTTAGATGGATTTAAAGCAATACTGTAAGTTTCCAAAATTTTATAATGCAATAACGAAAACCAATGTTTGTATATATCGGTAGATTTGTTTGGTAATAAACAATATACCAGGGGCACATAGTGTCCATTACACAGCCCATGAATGGTAAATAATTGTAGGAAAAACTTTGTACAATACGAAAATGTTCCATCCATATACAAGACGTTCATTTTACACAAAGTACGAATATTTGTCTCACATGTAAATACAGTAATATTATTTTCTCTGCTATTTATTAAAAGAAAATGTTCACCTTTACTGGTTTTAAATGTATTAGAATATAAGTCAACTGCATCATGCACTTCTTGTATATTTATAGGTAATGGACCTGGTAGTATTTTGCGACGACTGTTGTATATAGTTTTTCTTATGTAGGACACATCAATTGTAGTTAGTGACTCTGGTAAATTAGTAGCAAGTACTTTACGCATAATTTTAGAAGGTTTTTCCGAAATATCATCAACTGCTTTTCGCTTATACGAATTAGAAATAATTTTCCTATTTAATTTCGGTTCATTTGCTTCATGGCTATGAATTAGGTTGCCTCTGGATACTAAAAGTTCAGGACCAATTGTAAATACAGTGGCATTACAAGCATTTGTTTTTCTTTGGGAGCATCTCCAAGAAACTTCTCCACTTTTCATTTCTCTATCTTTGACAAACGTAAAATTCTCCAAAAGGAGTACATCTTTCCCGCGTGTGCTTTTAATCAATGTAGCTGACATTATAGAAATAATTATTGTTTATAAACACTCGAATTACAATCATCAACGTATAAAAACTGACTGAAATATAAACAGTAAACACCCAAAGTAAGTAGTACCTATTAGAATTATTAATAATCAGGTAGGTACCTATTTGTGGGCGGATGTAATTTGCGGGTTTAGGTACCTGAATGCTACTGTGGGCAAAATACCAGTAAGATTAACGCACCCCTTTACTTACACAGGTAGAAAACAGAGATTTGTGGGCAAAAAGGACCCGCCGTATGAGGTAATGTGATTTTTTTGGATTAAGCGTTAATTTGTTAAGTTCAAACCATGACTTAATTTTTTTTAAATCCATTTCAGCTTTGTTTTTTAATTCTGCCCATGTGTCTGCCTGATACATAATAGCGGTGTCATCGGCAAAGCTCATAATATTTCCCTGAGTTTTTTGAGACATTAAACTATTTATGTAGAGAGTGAATAGCACTGGCCCAAGAACAGTTCCCTGTAGCACTCCAAACGAAACCGTTCTCGGGTCACTACTCTTCCCATCAATACTTACATATTGCACTCTGTTAGTCATGTAACTTTCCAACAAATTATATGCAATTCCCCTAATTCCATATTGCTCCAGTTTTGAGAGGTCAAGAAATATGCAAAGAGTTGGCGTTTTGGAGTCAATTGTTTTATAAATAATAGATGTAAGTGAATATATTGCCTCTTTCGTGGATTTTCTCTCCCTAAAACCATACTGATGTGGTGATAACACTCATGCCTATTGAGGAACTTTAGTAGTCTCAATTTAATTTTTTCATAAATTTTGGAAAACACAGAGAGTAAAGAGGTTTTATTATACCTATTATTAAACAGTTTGGATATTCCTGTTTCCAAAAACTTTGATTAACGAGATGGGTAAGTGGTCGACCAACGTCTTCATTTATTTCTTTTATTGTTTCTGTCCTAATACTATCCCAACCTGGAGATTTGTTTGATTTTAAATCTAAAATAATTTGTTTTACTTCATTCTCATTGGTATCCACAAGATATATAGTACTTTCCACCATGTTTATATCTTTCCTATAATTTTGAGGAACTTTGATTTTTTTGCATATTTTTCAATGACGATTATAATTGACAGATAATGTGGTATCTATTTATAAAATAGTATTACATCCATAATTTGTATTATTAATTTTTGTAGAATTATGATCTAGATCTGAATTGCTTGTATTTGAAATAGTTCTTATCGAAAAACTTTTCTTATTTAGCCTGTCTTGTAGAAAATATTATTATTATAAAATTTAAATAATTTATAAAAAAGAAACCTGTGTTATTTCAAACAGTTATTTATTTATGAATTAGAATCATATATTTCAATGTCACGGAGATTAAATAATTAGCGAAACAGTTTTGTAATTTATAACATGTGTAGAAAACAAGATGCCATTTGAATTTTAAATTTTTTTGCTACATAGAGGCATTGAACCCATTATAAACAATAAAAATTCCGTATAGATGTCAATAGACGATAGTGATGAAGTGATGTTTTATCAATGAATTATCTTCA